AAGGCTATTAAATAGCAGTCCCAAACTAGTTTTTGTTCATACAATTAAGTTGGTACGAGCCAGCACATCATTTAAAACATCTACAAAATAAAACAAAGTGAAAATAATTCAATATAATAATAATTAAAATGGCATTTTTGGGTTATGGAAACAGCAGTTACCATGAATACACAATACTAAGAATTGTTAATGAAACATGAAAACTGCTCCTGAATATAATTAATATCATATATGCAAATCCTTCCCAGCTAACACATGAAGCACCAGTTATGTGGTTTATTAGTACTGTACTTTTATTTCACATGTTGCATGCTCGTAGTTTCTTTTGCGCTTTAGTGAAGTGATATACGGCGCGCACTACGAGCAAAGTATAACATCTGACAGGACAGGATAGTTCATAGTTCAGGAGGTGAGACTTTTTATTTCGTAACAAGTTACGAAAATAACGATAGAATAACAAGACTGACATTAAGCCTGACAACATCTCATCTGAATCAGGACAGTGCATTTTTCTCAGGCACTCTTTACTTATTAAACTGCATCTGACAGAAGTGTCAACAGCTTTCATGCATGTCTTTCAAAATAAAAGTCTTGCATCAGAACATTTTTTGTTGTTGATGTTGTTTCTTTGACTGTACACTCCGCGAACCTCCGGTTGAGAAACACTGCATTAACTAACATTAACAATGAGAAATACATTTGTTTTTTGTTTTTTTCACTGGAGGAAGCATTATTATGGATTATGGACTGATGGACTGGAGTGCTGTGGATTACTTGTGGATTATTGTGATGTTTTTATCAGCTGTTTGGACTCTCATTCTGACGGCACCCATTCACTGCAGAGCAAGTGATGCAATGCTACATTTCTCCACATCTGATGAAGAAACAAACTCATCTACAGTACACAGGGCAGGATTTAAGGCGCCAGGGGCCCCTGGGCTGGAGGTTATGTTTCAAAACCCTGAAATAACACTGAGCAAAAAAAGTATTAGTATTATAAAAATGTATTGTCATACCTGTGTCCACTTAAGCCAGATTCTTAAATTTAATCAATAAATTCAATCAGAATAAAAAGACATGTTGGCTATTAACAAACAAATGAAATCACTTTTAAGTTTGTTAAGTTTTTGTTAAGTTTAAATATAACATTTAATTGTAGAAATATTAAATTATTGCAAAAATGCAATAATAAGCTACTTTTTTTAAAATATGAAACTAGAACCGCCAGTAGGTGGATCTTAACGAGTGAGTTGAGTCCTTAAATCAACCGGTTTGTTTAAAAAGCTATAATTAATTTAACTTAGCAAACGACTGTACTTATAGCCTGATTGAATCATTTACTGCTCCGTGTAACGCTGAGGAACAAAACACTGTGTTGCTCGGAGACGCAGCGCTTCTGCTGTTTGTTCCATTTTCTTTTCGATGGAGCAAAATGGAATTTTGTGTCTGAAAGCTACTCAGTAACATGTTGTTTATTGTACATTTGCAATCGTGCAGATATTCGGAAAAACAGGACTCTTGCTTGTGCGATAAGCTAAGTCCTATATCACAGGCATATTTTATAAAACCAGAAACTCATTAAATGGCTTTTTTTTTATCATTGTGATGACATTTCTGCCCCACTATGTGTGACAGCAGTGAGATGGGAGAGAACGCTCAAAAACTTTAGATCACATAATTTAGTTGAACATTAAATTAACAGTAAAGAAATGAGGCGTGAACTAGAGGTCGACTGATGTATCGGTTTTGCCGATTAATCGGCACAGATAGTTGATTGCTGGAACTATCGGCAAAGATCCATGCTGATAGTTTTCCGGGTTGTGTCCGTTGCTGGAGCGGCTGAGAAGCTCCGCTGTCATTATACAGTACGAGAGCGACCTCTAGAGGCGGAATCACTGACGCCTTTGGCTGTTTGTTGGCGCGGTGCTGCACTTTTTGCCCAGTGTGCAACTGCCATATTTTGTTATTTTGATTATATAAGTGTGAGAGTATACATACAATATCCATATGTATGTAATTTCAATGCTATTGCCTTTGTGTAGAGATTTAAAGATGGCCAACTAGTTAGAGTGTGTTAATTTCAACATCTGCTAATACATTTTTTTAATTTAAAATTGCTTCTGTTAACATTAGTTAATGAACTTAATGATCAATATATGATTAATATTTAATAATATTGTTAATCATGTACAAAGTATGGTTCAGTACTGTTTTTCTTTTATTAGTAAAGCACTATTTCAGTTTTCGTTCAGTTATTTTAAAAACTATCGGTTGATTAATCGGTTTCGGCCAGTGTGGTCCAACCTATAGATATCTTTATCAGTAAAATCCACTATCGGTCGCCCTCTAGCGTGAACATATGAGAATTTATCATTATCTTTTTAAATATGCGCTCTTTTGGGCTAAAGGCTTAATGATGCTGTTTAAAGTAGCCATGTGATCAAATTAATTGGTGCAGACACAATTCAATACGTGTGTCCTTCTATGTGAAATTTTTCCTTTTTACACTCGTGGGAGGGTGTCATATCTGTTAATCATTATGCAAACGAATGCATCCATTATCTACACAATGGCAGAACGTGTCACACATGTGAGGTGCACATGAAAAATCACACTTATGAAAAAGACTCGGTTTCAAAAGAACACGTCTGTCAAAACCGTCCATTAGAGATATGCATTAAAAGCAATGTTTCGCGACTAACGCAAGCGCTGAGTGTTAGTTTGACTCATGCATCTGGTGACTCACCATTGAGCTGCTCCATGAAGCACACATTACCGTGTGTGTTGAAGGCCAGCGTGTCGGGCGTAACACAGAGGGTGTGAAAGAGCGGCGAGAGGCCGATGCTCTGGAGAGAACAAACACACTCCACACACACCGCCCACAACTCCTGCTCCGACAGCCCACCGTCCCGCAGACACAGAATATCAGCCAGAGACACGTTCTCCTGAGGATGGAGAGCACATTCTGAGAGATCAGTCTCTCAGCACAAATGCACACATGCATGGGTTCAAGCATCTACTAGAGAAAACATGTTTGCACTTATTACTTTAACAGCAAAAGTCAAAAGTAAGTGAACACACACCCACATACATCAGCAGTCAAAAGTTTTGAATAAATAAGATTTTTTAATGTTTTGGAGAGTCTCTTCTTCTCATCATGGCTGCAAAAATTGTTTTAATATTACTACAATTTAATTAACTTTTTATGTGAATATACTGTAAAATGTAATTTATTCCTGTGATAAAAGCTGAATTTCCAGCATCATTACTCCAGTCTTCAGTGTCACATGATCTTCAGAAATCAGTATAATATGCTGATCTGCTGCTCAAGAAACATTTCTGATTATTATCAATGTTGAAAACAGTTGTGCTGATGAATATTTTTGTGGAAACCGTGATGCATTTTATTTTTCAGGATTCACAAATGAATAGAAAAAGAAATAGAAAGCTTTTGTAATATTATAAATGTCTTTACTGCCACTTTTGATCAATTTAATGCGCACTCGATGAATAACTTTTTTTTAAAGGTAGGGTATCATGGTTTCCACAAAAATATGAAGCACCAAAACAGGATATTAAAGTTAACTAAAAATAAAACTGAATCAAAAATTAAAACCATAAAAAAAAAACGTTTTGGTAAATTTCTTATTTTATTTTTGTTTAAATAATTGATGTACTAAAATAATTAAAACTAAAACAAAAATGTAATTATATATATATATATATATATACACACATCGGGGTCAACAGATATGTGTTTTTCAGGGCAGATGCCAATGCCGATTATTACAGATCAAGTAGACCGATAACCGATATTTTAAAATAATATATATGTCTGGTGTAAAAATTTTTATTAATATCAAAATTAAGAATAATAAGGGCTCTGACAAAAACTTTCTTTAAAGGCTTTTAAATTATTTTATCGGCAAATCAGTTTTGGAAATGACCAATACGTATAATCATAAAAAAGCTTAATATCAGCGCCGATAATATATAATATATATATATTACAATGAATTGTCCATTTTCATTTTAATAAAATGTAGATGAAAATGGACAATATAAAAATAAAAACATTCAAAATATTGATAAAAACTATAACAGTATCTCAATTATAGTAAAATAACACTGCAGCACAACTGTTTTCAACATTGATAATAATCAGAAATGTTT